TTACTCATTAACTTTTATTATGTATTATTTATTACAAACAATTGTATAGTATTAGAAAAAAATTATCCTTCTCTCCTTTTTCTTCTTTTATCATGAATTCAGACAATATTACCAATCAAACACAATTAACAGACCATAGTAGGCTACTGTTTGTATGTTGTCCTCAACTGATGTATCTGCTAAATAAAGTGTGTTTAAAAACGAAATCTCACCTTCTACAAGTAGAACAGCACTTTCGGAATACAATCCACAAGATAATCCATCCAATTTACAAGTGATTAGTCAGATTGTGTTTTGTTGCTAAAAACTCAAACCTGAAGAGCGAAGAACCGGTTTAACAATCATTTACTGCCATCTTGCGGAGAGAGGAATGTAACGCAGCCTCACAGTGTCCTGTCTGGCCAGTTTTTGAAAGATATGTAGTTTCTTTCACTGTTCTGTTTATTTGTTAATCAGAGCTGGGTAGTAACTGATTACATGTAATATGGATTACATAATCCGATCCCAAAAATTAAAGGGATACTCCACCCCAAAATGAAAATTTTGTCATTAATCACTTACCCCCATGTCGTTCCGTTCGTCTTCGGAACACAATTTAAGATATTTTGGGTGAAAACCGGGAGGCTTGTGACTGTCCGATTGACTGCCAAGTAAATTACGCTGTCAAGGTCCAGAAAAGTATGAAAGACATCGTCAGAATAGTCCATCTGCCATCAGTGGTTCAACCGTAACGTTATGAAGCGACGAGAATACTTTTTGTACACAAAGAAAAAAAAAACGACTTTATTCAACAATTCGTCTCCTCTGTGTCTCTCCGCATCACCGTAGCGCCATTTTGGAGAATATCCGCTGAACGCAAGCAGCATACGCTATTCTGATGCGCTGTTTTCGTTCAAATCAAAGCGTAAATGTACAAAAAGTATTCTCATAATTTGTAATTCGATTTAATTACATTTTAAAATACTCGTAATCAGACTACAGTTACTTTTTTTATGGATTACATGATTACATATTATTTACACAATAGTTATAAATTATTCATAATTCCCTAATTCCTCTTTTTCAGCTTTTAAATGTTTTAGAACAGTTTTTAATTGACATTTATGCAGTTTCCCAGCTAACAAAAATATGTAGAACGTTTTGCTAACATTCCCTTAAGTTATAAAAACTTTATTTCTTAATGTTCTCTGAATGTTCCAAAAAAAATTTGTTTATATGAACATTCCAATGTAACATTTTGCAAACATTATGGAAATGTTACTTTTGAATGTTCTCCAAGAAATGTTTAACATCCGATTTAAAAGTTCCATGCATGAATAATGTATTAACAACGTTTTTGTGAACTAACAAACATTCTCTTAACATTACTGGAAGAACATTTATTCATAACAATGAACCAATCAAACGCGTGGCTTACTTTCTGTAAAATAAAAGATGTTGGGTGTTTTTTTTCTCAACACCATTGCAGAAGTTCTGCCCTAAACCTTCTGTCCAGTTGGTCCTGAACTGACTCAGTGGTGTTTAAGTCTGGACACTGAGCTGGCCGTCCAACATTGGAAGTAAAGGTTGTCCTGGCATAGCCCGGAGGTTTGATTTGTGATCTTTTCTTGCTGTAGGATGAACCTCTGACCCACTAGGTGAGTACCAGAGGGTGCAACATTGTGTTGTGCTAGGGTTTTTGCTTCAGGGAGCCACTCACTTTGAGCAAATCGCAGACTCTGGATCCAGCAAAGATCCCCGGAGCATCATGTTTGACTATTGGTGTCGCACAATAAGAAACATCCTTTCACCTACTCAACACCGTGCAAAAAACCCTGTGCAATGAAGTTGAATGGGTTCATGGAAGAACATTTATTCATAACAATGAACCAATCAAACGCATGGCTTACTTTCTGTAAAATAAAAGTTGTTGGGTGTTTTTTTTCTCAACACCATTGCAGAAGTTCCCTCAACTGTGCTGCTTTGCCCTAAACCTTCTGTCCAGTTGGTCCTGAACTGACTCAGTGGTGTTTAAGTCTGGACACTGAGCTGGCCGTCCAACATTGGAAGTAAAGGTTGTCCTGGCATAGCCCGGAGGTTTGATTTGTGATCTTTTCTTGCTGTAGGATGAACCTCTGACCCACTAGGTGAGTACCAGAGGGTGCAACATTGTGTTGTGCTAGGGTTTTTGCTTCAGGGAGCCACTCACTTTGAGCAAATCGCAGACTCTGGATCCAGCAAAGATCCCCGGAGCATCATGTTTGACTATTGGTGTCGCACAATAAGAAACATCCTTTCACCTACTCAACACCGTGCAAAAAACCCTGTGCAATGAAGTTGAATGGGTTCATAAGGCCTTCTTCCAATAATGAATAGTCCATAATTCAGAAATTGCAGGTCTGAAACTTTTGACCTATTGATACAAAGTCAAAGTTTGTGCAATAAAAGCATGATTATTTTGTAGGGCAAGTCTACAAGTCTATAGGGGCTTTTTGAGTCCTACAGATGACTATATCATATTTGACAGCCTATGGTTGTGTAGAAAACAATGGAAAAATACTGTAACACTCTAGTTTAGGGACCAATTCTCACTATTAACTATTGCTTATTAGCATGCATATTACTAGGATATTGGCTGTGTATTAGTGCTTATAAAGCACATATTTAAGCCTTATTCTGCATGACCATATTTTAGATCCCTTAATCTGAACCTATACCTAAACTTATCAACTACCTTCCTAATTATTAATAAGCTGCAAATTAGGAGTTTATGGAGGCAAAACTAATAGGCCTAAGCAAAATAAGACCTAAGATCATTTTGGATGGAACAAGGTTTTTCAAGTTTATTTGCTGTCAGTGTCATGAAACATACAGGAAATAAAAGTACAAAAATCTGTTTCATATTCATTATGAAAAACAACAACAAGAGTTTCAGTGCTGCACTGAATATAACAAGGAAGCAACATTGAACGGTGCATCTACTGTAAATGAACAGGTTCACGGTCACTGAGGAGAAGACATTTGATCAGATATGATCTGATTGACATATTCTGGAAATATGACTGGTAGTATAACTTCAATGCTGTTTCAATGATTCATCCAAAAACATGTCCAGGCCAAATTTCACCTTAAAAATAAACAAAAAGAAATAGAGAAAAAATTATATATCAAAAGAAAATTAAATTTTAGGATAATTTCCATAACAAAACTTTACAATTTAATCATTTAAATGATTTTCTGCATTGCAGTAATGAGAAGTCTAGGGGAAAATGTGCTTTTTTGTGTCTTATGACCCAGTTCTTGAGGTTTTGCGAGATTGCACTGTACAGAAAGCATGAATTGAGAAGATACACATACTCCAGCATTCACACAGCTGTGGAAAAAAAAGATGTAGATTAATATGACAGCAGTAACAGAACTAAATATTAAAATAATAACAACAACAGTAATAAAACTAACAGTCAGAGAAAAAGAAATCTTATCATATACTGGATCAGAAATCAAGTTACCAGTGTTCAAACTACAGTGCAATTATGACCTTGGCCATCAGAAAGTTTTTTTTAATGATTATTTTATTTTAATACACAGCTGTAAAACAATTTATAATATTGTGTTCATTTTACAAGTCATTCTACAAGAAACATACACAGAAAATATCAGAGAGAACGCAGAAAACACACCAATTGTTCGTTTCTACGACAGAAATCGCAGCCCATGACAGTGATTTGGACAGTTTATTTGTTTGTCTCATCGAGTCATTTATTCAAGAAATGCTTGAGTCTATAGCTTGGTTATTGTACAATTATACTGGCTGTTCAAAACAGATCATTGGTTATTAGTTTTTACATGAGCTCTGCCGGATTCGTGTCATCAGGTTTCATTTCATAAAAAATGAAAGTCGTGTGTCTCCTGGAAAAGCCATCACTTTTGATCGTTTTACTATTACAAATGTTCCAAATCAGGCGCATGACACTCTTTACCTGAATTCTGCCGTGTGTCTATAAAAATCTATTTCAAATGTACAACAATTGTTTGATCTGTCATCCGTGGTGACGTGGTTTCTCTCACCCATGCATGCAGTTCTCGACTGTAAACAGTGTTGGCTGTCATTGGCAGAAAGTAATACATTCCACGGCGTGATACAGCAGAGGATAATGTCAAGTGTTCATGTTATGTGCGTTGGTGACGGATCGTCATCTACGGCATGCACGGATACAGATTCTCTTCAGCAAACAGGACGTTTCTCGCAGCAAACACGTCGTTTATAAAATACCTCAATTTTTCTGACGCATGATTAAAAGAATAAAAAGGAGCCCCTGGAAAACAGCAAGAGTTTGAGCTTATTAAGTGTTCAGATTATGGCTATACCATACCATTTGCAGCCGACACGGGACAACTTTTGCTTGTCAGACTGTGCAATAAAGTTCAACTTTAGGTCAGACTGTACATCTTATAATATATCTTAGCTTAAACTTGAGTCATCATGACTAACAGCATTAACGGGATGTTTTATTTAATTGATAACAGTAGCTCTAATGTTGCCCAAATAGATGCTAACAAATATTTTTGTTTTATAAAAATGTATGGACTGGGACCCAACGTTTTATTAATTAATAATTCAAATCTGATTCCAGTTTGGTGCAGTTACTGTTATTTATTTGGCCATAAAGTAAGATGAAATTATGATAGCTTGTAATGTAAATCAAAGTTTTATTAATATTTTTTGTAATGCATTTTCTTTATTTAATTAGTTAATTTAAATAATAATTGTAAGATTTTTATTTAATAACAATTAAATATTACATAAAATGGCATAATAATAATGATGATAATAATAATAATTGCATAATTGCATCTGTTGGGGGGGGAATATAAGAGAAAAAGATGGCAAAAAAATAGTGTAATATTTTTATTTAATGCAAACTAAATTTTTATACTAAAATAAAAATTTAATAATAATAATAAGAATTATTATTATTGTATTATTATTTAATATAAATAAGTATTTAATATACCCAAGATTAGACTGCGAATTGACAGTAAAAATCGTAGCATGTGCACCCGGCTTTACTTTGTTCACACCATAGAGACCCAAGACGGTCTGCCGTTAAACATCAGCTTTGATTGATAGCTTAATAAGGTGGTCTCATCCACACTGAGAGTGTTTGTATCAGGATATAGTACATTATACATTCCCATCTACAGCGCCGCACCACAGACGATCATCCCTCGCTGAAGTCCAGTCTCTTTAGCGATGCTCGTCCATATCAAAGTCTTAGAGTTCAGACCCTAATGCTCATCAGGGAGTGGACAGTGAAACGGCTTCCTGTCCAAGGCACAAGCGGATGTCCAGAACGTCCCGCAGCGGATCAGAGGGTGATGCGGGCACAGTGATGTTTAAGCTTGCAGGGCAGAATGCCTCTGTTCAGCTGGTAAAACTCAACTAGCTGCAGCAGGTCAGTGAAACGCGTGTGTCCGTCGTCCAGACTGTAGAATAGCTCACCGTTCTCTTCAACCTGACAGTCACACACGCACACAGGAAGAGTGTTACAGCTCAGATCAACATCACAACAAATACATTTACTGCCACTTTCCATGAACAGGGTACACTTTTTAAAGCATCATAACCACAAATTATACTTTAGACTAAGACTTGTCAGATAAACTATAATCTAACACCAAACTAACTTAGCATGGAAACAAGGTTGTTCAGTAAAACTTTAGTTTAAGGTCCAATTCTCACTATTAACTAGTTGCTTATTAGAATGCATATTACTAGCATATTGGTTGTTTATTAGAACTTATAAAAGCACACATTCTGCATGACCATATTCTACATCCCTTAATCCTGCCCAATACCTAAACCTAACAACTACCTTACTAACGATTAATAAGCAGCAAATTAGGGGTTTATTAAGGCAAAAGTTGTAGTAAATAGTTAGTTAATAGTGAGAATTGGACCTTAAACTAAAGTGTGACCGGTCATTTTAAACACAGCAAATATCTTCCCCTCAAATCTG